CACTGGACATGTCGCCATATAGTATTTATCTTAACACGTCGACCACAGATGAACTACTTGTTTAGCGTTTATTTATTATTCAGCGTTGTTTAGCAATTTGTCAAGCCTTCAAATGATACTGTTATACAACATCGAAGTATTAAAATTACAACACAAAGTCCGGCTGTTTAGCTACCCGTTCTCCACTCAAAAGTGAATGAAAGCAGTCGGATGCTTATGCTCCTAAAGGTCCAACGTCGAATTACGAAAGTTAAAATTTCTAATAGCTCCCTCGACTGCTGAACTAACTACAGTAAATTCTCCCTAATTAACGCTCAGCTTGGAGACAAAAATGGACAATTTGGGAAGAGCTGATACGATTATTCCAGCCTTGCAACTTATTTTTATAGTTGTTGACAGTAGTTATTATAAAAACGAGCCACAAGGCTCGAATAATCTTATCTCTTCTTCCCAAATAGTGCTATTATTGTGGAAAATCAGAGCGCGAATTAGGGAGAATTTACTGTATCTCCGTCGTTGCAGGTGAGAGTGATGGTGCCAGGGGCAGAAAGGAAGCTGAGGGAGCAACGAGGCTTAAGTTCGGAGTACCTGGTGCGAGCTCACCAAAAGTCACCCGGCCCTCCGCAGACCAGAGGCTTCGGGCAGCCCACAAAAAGTAACATTGTTAATTTACATCCCAATTACAGTGGTGCACACTCGAGCGTTCGCTTTTAACAACCGCTGACGCTCAACACGTTCGCTACCAGAGCAATTAGCGTACATAGCTATATTTATTGTATTTATCGTCAAGGAGAAGCAATAATTTAGCTATAATTTAGCTGTAATTTATAAGCAATTTCAAATACAGTAAATTCCCCCGAATTTTCCTTCCAAACAAAAATAGACAATTTGGGAACAGAAGACACGATTATTCGTGCCACACGGCTCGTTTTTATAGTTTCCGATTGTCAATAATTACAAAAATGAGGCGCAAGTCTCGAATAATCGAGCTATATTTATTGTATTTATCGTCAAGGAGAAGCAATAATTTAGCTATAATTTAGCTGTAATTTATAAGCAATTTCAAATACAGTAAATTCCCCCGAATTTTCCTTCCAAACAAAAATAGACAATTTGGGAACAGAAGACACGATTATTCGTGCCACACGGCTCGTTTTTATAGTTTCCGATTGTCAATAATTACAAAAATGAGGCGCAAGTCTCGAATAATCGAGCTATATTTATTGTATTTATCGTCAAGGAGAAGCAATAATTTAGCTATAATTTAGCTGTAATTTATAAGCAATTTCAAATACAGTAAATTCCCCCGAATTTTCCTTGCAAACAAAAATAGACAATTTGGGAACAAGAGACACGATTATTCGAGCCACACGGCTCGTTTTTATAGTCTCCGATTGTCAATAATTACAAAACAAGGTGCAAGTCTCGAACAATCGAGCTATATTTATTGTATTTATCGTCGAAGGGAAGCTATAATTTAGCTATATTTTAGCTGTAATTTATAAGCAATTTCAAATACAGTAAACTCCCCCGAATTTTCCTTCCAATCAAAAATAAACAATTTGGGAACAGGAGACACGATTATTCGAGCCACACGGCTCGTTTTTATAATCTCCGATTGTCAATAATTACAAAAGCAAGGTGCAAGTCTCGAACAATCGCATCTCCTCCTCCCAAACGGTGCATTTCTTACTGCAAGCTGAAGGAAAATTCGGAAGAATTTACTATAACTATATTCATCAAATTAACTTCACATTCTTCGCCTGAAATACAAAACCATAGTCATCATACACGCGTGACTCTGCTAGCGAACATATTGATTCAGATTATGTCAGATGGTCCGTAAATTCGTCTAAACTAAGAAGCGGGAACGTTTGCGAAAAATGCCCACTTGAAGCGATCAGAAAAGTGTATCCCTAAGTGTGCACCACTGCAACATATCCACCTGCCCCCATCCACCACTCTCTCACCATCAAACGCAACCATATTCCAGCTCCGCAAAGGGTGGTCGAAGAGGGCACATCGCTGCTGTGTAAGTCCGCGCCGGACATCTGCGCGTCGAACCCGCAGGCGATCAGCTACGTCGACAAGGCGGACCTGTCGCACGTGTTACCGGCGTACCCAGACGCGAAGAACGCGGATCCTGGTTACACGTTCACCGGCAAGTCGGAGGCAAGCGTGATCGATTCACGGCTGAGCGGTTTCGCTGACAAGGAGGGTTTGATCGACTCGAGGATCCTGTCGGACTCCCGGCAGAACATGATCGCCTTCACGGAGAGCAAGGAGCACACGGTGGGCCAGGAGCCGCGGTACACGGAGTTCGCGCCCAGGGCCACGGAGCAGACCGTGGTGGACTCGCGGCTGACCTTCACGGAGAAGGAGGGTCTCCTGGACTCGAGACTGTCGGGATACGGCGAGAAGGGCGAGTCGCTGCTGGACACGCCGTTCGGTTACGACACGCGGTACAACACGTTGGCCGGCCAGACGGTGCCGATCACCCTGAAGAACCAGAACACGTCGGTCTCGGCGATCCAGTCGCAGTACATCTACCAGAACTTCGGGACGATACACTCCGGGATCCTCAGGGTATCGGAGCCGGGGACCAGCTCGAGCTCGAACTCCAGCCAGAGGAGCATGACGCTGCAGAACCCGAAGCGGAAGTCGCAGATCGCCCAGAACACCTTCAGCACGATGGAATGCGAGAAGAGGAAACGCGGATCCGGTCTGGCGGGCAAGTCAGGGTTCTACACGGGCAGCGCCGTATGACCACCACCACCTCCTCCGACCCCAAGGTAACTGGAAGAGGAAGAAACGCCGCTGTAACCTTGAGACAGAGGAGCCAGCGGCGTAACGTCTGATCCGTCGGAGGAACGCGCGCCTAGCGCGCGACTAGCAGAAAACTCTGCTTTACCAGCTGCTGGACTACAGAGCTCTACCGGACCGACTACCGGACAACCAGTGACCGGTTGATAACGGTTACCACGCGATGGTAACTGGTACCGACCGTGGGTCAAGCGGTTCCCTGCAGGACAACTCTGTGCAGGACGACTGTAGTTTCTAAAGTGAACCGATTCGTCAGGGGACATCTTTGCTCGATGATTTCTCAGAGGGACTTGTACATAGGTCATTGCTGTCGACGTTGAGAATAAGCTGTTCGTGTAAAGAGCTCGGTCGGGCGGAACCGATTTTTCAGGTGTTCCGGAACGACGTGTCGCATAGTTTAAGACTCGGCATGTTAATCGATAAGATAAGGACGAAAAGGAATGTTGTGGTAGAGCGCATAAAAGTTAGCTGTAGCGTTAAGTTATTATAGTATCTTGGATGGGTTACATACCGTAGGCTCGATTTTACCGGAAAGAATTTGTACCTCCTACGTGTAACACCGTGATCTACCCTTTGTCTGTGTAAAGAGACCGGCTCGGCATTTCTTTGCGCGCCGACACGGAAAAAATGCCGATCCACCGATCGATCCTGTTCGTGGAAACCGTGATCGTTGGATCGGCCGGCTACGCCGTAGCCCACGAAACTCGCGCGACTCGCTGTTCAATTTATCCTCAATTAATCACGTAATCGCGTCTCAGCTGCATAACCAATCGGACGGATCTATAAAGTCGAGGTGGAATAACTAATTAGTAGTCGATATGCTGTAATGTACTCGGTGGTCGGTATAATTGCGAATGATCAATGGGGCGTGAACACGTCTGACCATTTTCGGGGAAAAGAAGGAATGCCGCCGCAGAGCGGGAATTCGATCGGCCGTTCGACGAATCGCGTCGGGGATTTTACCGTAGCAAAACGTAATCATCGACGGATGCACAGATAAATAATATGCCAGTCAGAAGCGAACGGGATCATAGTACAAAGTCATTTTTAAAAACGTCACCGTCTGAATCGTCGCGGTTCCACGGGCACGCGCGATCGATCATCAAGTCGTCTCCTATCGATCACGATCAACAGTAGCGGGCAAAAGATTGAGACGGAACGATGGCTTGTTATTGCATTGTTTGCGATCGTATTTCTTTATTGCTGTTTCGGGCAACTTACATTTGCACTGCGTCGCCAATTGTGTAAACCTTTTGAAAGAATCGGGCGAATGATATATAATTAATTATACGATTAATTGCAAATATTATTACATATATAACTATATACATATTATTGTTATATATAATATATAATATAAATTTATATTATTATATATAATGTATAATATAAATATATATCATTGTATATAATATATAATATAAATATGTATTATTATATGTTATTAATATTCCTGTAATATTGTCTGATAACTTCGTTTGAGAGTATCACGTAGAAAAACATTGTTTAGGTTTCTCTTAATAGAACACAATAATCGAAAATTGATATTTCATATATTATTAAAATTATTGTTAAAATTGATATTATTTTTTGATATTTGTACATAGCGGAACCTCGATTGTCCTAAACAGAGTGACTCGAATGTTTGGATAATAGAATAGTTACCCAATTACGGTGGCAGACTTTGTCTTTATTGATTTTTATAATAAATCCTTTTGCATATCGATTGCCTTGGATCGAGCCAAGCACGCGTGAAACGAATTTTGGACAAAAAAGAAATGGATGGTCGGACAATCGAGATTCTATCGTACTGAAATAACAAACGAGTTCGTAAGATTTCATTCGCATGCGTAAGACACAACGAATTCATGGAAGTCAAGAGACCAGAAACATGAGAGCACAACTGCGTCCTGCTTAAATTATTTCGCAATCGTATGTTCGAGATTTAGAAAGTGAAACACACGCATCGGTAGATCTCAGAAGGAAACGAACTAAATAAATCTAAGTAACAATAATAGAATACGCGTGTGAACCGGAATGGAACTTGACCGTCTGAAATTTATGACCGCTACTGTACCTATGGCAAAAGTCTTGAGCGTTCGCCAATCTTGGACATATCAGGAGCGAAAGCGTTTTTAAATCGGAACCACCACGGAATCGTCGCGACTCACGTTCTATCTTCCTCATTTGCATCGTGTAATTTCTTACCGCGGGGGTTGGAGAATATTTTGCGGTCTCGATGCGCGCCCGATCCGGACGGCAACCGTTCCATATGGATCGCAGGTTGTTGTGCATGTAACTTTGCAACTTGCGTATATAAACGTATAAAGATCGTAGGTGAATGTAATAAAGTGTTTCTTTTCTAAACGCGCTGTTCAATTCACCCACATCCTCGAAATAAATGTGTACGAACTGTGTCGTTGTGTTTCATTAAATCTTCACTAAATTCTTTCTTGTTCGTTGATTTCATTCATTTGGACGCGTGCACGCTTTTCGCTGAACTATTTAGGTAATCATTTGTTAGGAGACCGCGGGTTTTATGCATTTAGGACGAAAATGATTTGGTCGAATACAAAACGGTAAAATAATTTAACACTGGATTTACGGAGCACAGAAAACAGCTGTTTCATATTAGTTTATAAATGAAACAATGAGACATTTATTCTGATTTTTAACAAGTGTTATTGTAAGATTTTTGCCGCAAGTAACATATAAATTGAATAAATAACTCGTAAATGTATCTTTACGATAAGAATATTCGTAAATTAAAAAATTCGTGAGCCGTCATTTTGACGGGTTCCGTAAATCTAGTGTTAAAGAATTTAAAAACACATTATTTTCAACTCATTAAAATCATTAAAAATAGAAATAAATATCTATCTATCTTCTATATCTTGAAATTAGCGCAGACAATTTTTAGTTTGCATAAAAATTCGCTGCTTATTTGTTATTATAATCTCTATGCGTTCTTGTGTTTCAATAATTATTCGTTAAATGCTTTGTCGTCGATCACTTTTCTTTATTGTGACATGTGTGCAATTAATTGAAGTAATTATTCTTTGTAAGGTGCTGTCTTTAAGGGTTAGACTGATTAAGGGTTGAAACTAGCAGACAGGCAAAATATTTGCTTCGAAATTTCTTATCGAAGTCACAAATAAACTGTGGATATTTATAGAAAATGAAAATTGTTTGCAGTGATTTCAATATAAAAATCTACGTAGTCATTTAAAAGTCATTGTTTAACTACTTTAATTAATCGGAAATAATAATAGCTATTAATTCTTTGAGTGTTTTTTATTCGATATACTCTTTGCACTCGTTAATTCGTAAAATATCATAAGATATAATAACAGGGTTGCAATCTTTTTTATTTTTCTATCCTTCTAGAATTTTTAAAAAACACAAAGTTATCGAATGTCTTTTAACAAAAATACGTCGAATAGTTTCACTAATATTAAAAGAATACCAACTGTATTGGAAAAATATTCTCTCTTTTGTAATTTCTACCTGCATAAAATGCACTTTTTCGTTAACTTTTGTAAGCCACTTTCAAACTTCAACTGAAAATAACAAAAAAGAAATCAAATAAAGTATTAAATTAAATATGATTCAATAATAGTAATAAACGGCCCAAATATTAACGAGAAACTATAAACGAAACATTTCTAATACTCACTGTCGTTCATGTGACACGATTATTTTCCATCGGTTAAAATGTTAACAGTTCATATGGATTTACCAACATCCAGCAAGTGCGGTGTTTCAGATGGCTCTGTAAGGAGCTTTCGGCCAGGAATGGCGTCGAGCTTTCGCCAGATGGCGAGCTCGGTCCTTATGTCGCGGCGACGTCGCCTCTAATGTTTAATTAACGCCGCATAATTGCCCGACCAATTAGCCAGCACCGTTTAATATTAATCTGCAATTTGAATTCATTTCGATGCGTTTAAAATTTATTGAATACATAATTAATGCCGCGTGTTGCGAATGCAGATACGATGCACGAATGCCGCCCCCGGCGGTTTGCGGGCTGTCCGAGTGATTTATGCGGACAGTCCGGCCGAAAGTTCACGCCGAAAAATCCCACGGATATGGCGGATCGTTCCTGAAAATATCGTTCCGAACGGCAAAAAGAGATCCCCGTTTCTCCGGGACGGGGAAACGCGACCGCGTTCGTTCGTCCGTCGCGTTTGCCAATTCAAACGCATGCAACGCTTCTGAACTTCCTCTTAATTAATGGATTTAGCCTATTTCTACCGTTCCGCGTCCGATAAATGTGATTTACGGCGCCCGTAGATGGCCACGTTTCTTTCGGAGAAAATGCCGGAAGACAATTGAGTTATTTATCGCGGGCGAAATAAATTGAGCCGCCCCTGACGATGACTAGCACTGCGGATTTTATGCGTTTCCACTGCGCGTTTGTATCCTCGGAAACAGACGAACGGGCCCGCCTTAATGAAGATTGAACCGCGCTTCTTCCCCCCGCGCCTCGAAATATTTAATCGAACACTGAAATCCAATTGTCTCTGGGCGTCGTTAAATTATTCGGTGATGTTGCAAATCACGGGGAACTTTCTAACACAGCCGGAATATCGTTGCATTCTTTTATGCAACGTGTTCCATTCTTAGCTTGCGAATCCCGATGCAGCCACGATTATTATTTGGTAACGTTCCTGCGCTTTCTTCGAAACGAAAACATTCTAACCAACTTCGATTTCGTGTACAGTAAATTCTCCCCAATTTTCCTTCAGATTGTAAACTAAAATGATCCGGAATAATCGTATCTCCGCTTTCCAAATTGTCCATTTTTGTTAACAAGCTGAAGGAAAATTGGGGAGAATTTATTGTATATTGACGCTGGAAATATCGAGCTCTAAGCAACTAATTTAATTTGTGACAATGGTAAGATTGGATTTATTTAAACTTCGTACGATTTCTATTGTAATAGTACGTTCGAATAAAGAAGTTTATATCTAAAAACTATCTCATTGATGCAATTTTATGATATCAGGAATTGTGATGGGAAACGTCAGAAACCAATCGTTTTGACGATTTATTAATTTATTAATATATAAATGGTTTGGTAGTTCCAGTGTTACAATTGTAGCAGTGGTGAAATGTTTACGATATTATGTTTGTTATATTAATATTTGTTATATTATCGGTCACACTGGTAACGATTTCAGAATTTTTATAAATTCTTATCTTTATTTCTTATTTTTATAAATTATTATATATCTTGTCTCGAATCTGTGATTCGGACGCAGAACTTACTGAGTGCACTTTAATTAAATATTAATGTTACCAATACAGCGATTTTCATCCCTGGAGGAGTTAAATCAATACTCACAACACTCTGTCGGTGATAAATTATTTTTACAGATTAAATTTTGCTGAGATGTTAGAGAGAATATAGTTTACTTACATAGAAAAAGCTTTACATTTATCGGATAAGACGTATTAATCCTTTATATTCTTTTAATTCGTTCATTTATTAATAAAACATTTGATACTGATATATAATAATAATAATATGATACCAGTGATACTAATAATAATAATAAAAATATTCGCTAAATATCAAGTTAATTACGACTGAAGACAAAGGCACAGCAATTGGTCAGCCCACAGTAACCGACTCCACCACCCTATCGCGCAATAGCAATCACTCGCACCCAGCTAACCACGACCATTCGCGTTTCCTCGAAGTCCCAGTTCGCCGAGTCACGCGAAACTTTCAATTCCGATTCTCGCCGGGTCGACGTCGCGACTCTCTCTCCCTCTTGACATAACCTTAAAAAAGAAAAGAAAAATGAGAAAGAGGATAAAGAAATAGAAAAGTAAAAAGTAAAAAAGAAACAAAACTGTCGACTTCGTTCTCTAATTTCTCGGTGCTTTTCCTTTGCAACAAAGCCACCTGAATCGATACCGGGGGCCCGGTGTGCCCCCACGCGAATCGCATCGAGCACGAAGGGGAATCGAAGGGGCTGCGAGTAGATTGTCTCTGTCATTTACCTGCCCGGCATCCCCCGTCCTCTCCTTTCCTCGTCCGAATCTATCCGAGCCAACCCCTTCCTTTCTGTAACCTGGCACCCTCGACATCGTCCGCGACCCCACCCTCCTCGTGGCCGCCGATGCCGCTGGCCCGTGTAGCCCCGTCTCGCTCTAATCCAATTAAAAACGGCGGACGATCGCACGAAACAGCGGCTCATCGACCACGGGAATTTTAATTGATGTTACAGGTACGAGAGGGTAGCGGATACCCCGGCCTCTGTAGGAACGAATATAGAAAGGGGTGGGCTCGAGGGGC